CGACGAGACCCTACGGACTTATCCGACGAGACCCTACGGACTTATCCGACGAGACCCTACGGACTTATCGCAAAAAACCTGACTACTTTTCGGAAAAAACCTTCCTATAGAGGTGTTTACTACACTAACAGAGGTGTTTAGATACCATGCATTTTTTAGTTACCAGAAGCAACTCGTCTCATTTCTTTGAATTGAGAACTTGCTTGCTGTGTAATATGTTATCTATTTATATATGTTTTCAATAAAACGTATAATAATTTTTGAATGTGATAAGAATAATATAATAATATTATTATAACAAATAAACCCAACAATTATCCTACTCCTGATATTCTGCAGTCGTCTCTTTCTCTCGAAACTTAGTTTTTCGAAGGTTTCACTTCTAACACGTGTGATCTGCCCACATGATAGTTTTTGTTATTTTTTAAGAGTAAATAAAGACTGAAAGTCTCAAAAAACATTTTTTTTTATACACCAGTCATTTTGACTAGTGTGGTAGAAATAGGTGTACTGAAAATGGTGGTATATTTAGTGTTAAAAAAAGCAAATAATAAACAAAAAATCAAAAGAGAAATAATACGAAATATGAAACACATTGTTAGTAAATTTATTTGACCAATAAATCAATCAATCCAATCACTATTATTCTTTATATAATGCAATCATATATTCGTACAAATATTTTATTTCTTCGAATTGTGACGCGGCCATTGAAAACTTTTGATTGGTTGTATTACAACACGCGTTGATAATAAATTGTTTGGAGATTAAATTATTAACGAATTAATTAAAAAAAAAAAAAAATACAATATAAATTTATTAAAAAAAAAAAAAAAGAAAATAAATCGAATTATAGGTTAGGATTGTTTACGAAGAAGATCGACCACGTGTTGATAATAGATCGTTTTGAGATTAAATTATTAACGAATTAATTGAAACAAAAATATACAATGTAAATTCATAAAACAAAAGAAAATAGATGGAATTATAGGTTAGGATTGTTTACGAAGAAGATCGAATGATATATCGATACATCGATCATAATAAATCGTCAGGTAGTTTAAAGTTTATCGAACTACACTTACCAAACTTACAATTGATCAAAATCGTGCCTTCGGGTATTAAAATACCTTAATCGATTGAATATTTTCATACTAAACGACAAGCTATTACGTGACATGATACGTAAGAGATAATGAACGTTGTTTGATGATCATGGTCCTTTAAAAACAGTGGTTCTCATTCATCATATTTTTGTTTTTTAAAATGCAACCTACAAATTTGTTCAAAAATTTGAGCAAAAAATAATTGATATAAAATATGTTAAATATTTTTATTTTTATGTTAAATTATTACTATTATTATAATAATTTTATCATGGTTTTTTAAAAACAGTGGTTCTCATTCACCATTTTCTTTTTTTTTTAAATGCAACCTACAAATTTATTCAAAAATTTGAGCAAAAAATAATTGATATAAAATATTTTAA